ACATCTCGGAGTGGCATTTAGAGTGTATGGAACTATGTACTAGAGTACAGCCATTTGCCTGTGTGCTTATTTTTCAGTTGTGATTGAAGGAAAGAGTCCTTACCAGGCTTTGCAGTCTGTGTAAGTCAAAGCAAATTCAATGTGCTGTATTTCTGTGGTCTGGAAAGCAGATACAGTTGAGAGGTTTCATCTCGTTTCTTGTTGTCACAAGTCTAATAACATCAGGTAGGTGACTCACTGCTCCATCTGCTGTGGTCATGAGTCACTGATACAATGCAAGGCACGCTGAAAAAAAAGGCATTGTTGATTAGTAAGGTCCTCCCTCACCAGTCAGAACCTTGAATACCTTAAAAAGAAAATACATCTATAAAGCAGTAAAAATGAGATCAAAGTCTGCTCATATTTCAAATATATAGCCACTATCTTGCTAAATAATGTGCCATTAAAACTGAACAGTGTTTGTATTTGCATAATTCTGTTTTTCCTGAGTAAAGTACAGCTGCCACATGATTACTGTGTTTGAAAAGACTGTCAGACTGTGTGCTGATAGATCAATATTTCATGATAACTTAACTACCAGAAAATTTTACAATCATCCATGAGAAGGCCAAAAGGAGATAATAGAACTCCACTCTCAACTCTGTAGCTGTGAACAGAAAACTAATATAAATTCCTTTCTTCTTCAAGAAAACAAAAAAAAGCAAACCCCACATTCTTTCTGCAATGTGTTCAATAAAGGCCCACGTGGTGTTCACCTACACCTGAACATTACTCTGGTTCTGACAAGGTGTGAAGATAAATACAAAAACTGCTCATAATCAAACCTATGTGTGATATTTTTGTATTTTTTTAACAGGGTTTTACTACTTTATGATTTAATGAACCTGCAGAGCAAATTAAAATAAACTAGAATGAGGCAAAGGTATTGCCAAAAAGTACTAAATTAGAAATTTTTCTGGACCCATAATTCCAAGAAAATTCAGTCTGTTACCCTTCCTCTCATTCAGTCAAGTTTCTCCCAAACATATGTGAGCATTTCAGTGTCCTTAACACCTATTTACTTGAGAAAGACCTGACAAAACTATGATCATTAACTGATTCTGCCCTAATTGCTTTGAAATGCCTAATTCTTTCCTAAATCTTCTCTAAGGCTCCCAGATGTCAGGTTGAGTTTAAAAATTTTATATATGTTTAACGTACAAAAATGGTCAGAAAGTTAAACACTGAGCTGACCCAGCAAAATAACTGTGGGTTTTTATATTTCAAGTTATTCAGTCCCAACATTTACAAGTTTCCATGCTGTAAAACCTCATGTGAGTAGAAAAACATTTTTACTACAATTTAGAGCTTTATATGCCCAAGTAATATGATACAACAAATTATCAGTAAAAAGAGTAGACAATACTTTTACCACATCTTAATCTGTTTGGAGATCGTCTTTCCCATGGAAAACCCCTGACTGATACTGTACTAATAAAGGAAATAACTTCACGAGGTAATTATACTTATTGCTGACATCCTAAACATCCTGGACTGACTCCAGCCGTGTGGTACAGCCTCTGGGAGGGAATTCACAAGAACAGCTGAGACATACACAGCTTAAAATGGTAAAAACCTGCAAATTTAACTGGTGTTAATCCCCTCTCTTAACTCTGCTCTCCCTCTCTCATGCCCTCCTTCCCCCTTCAGCAAGGAATTAAGGCTTTCTGTTTCTGGAATTTTTGCCTGCTGGTGATAGATTTTTTTGCTTTGTTGTACAGATGTTTGATGTTGTTTATACCCACAGACTTCAGAAGGCTGCCTTTTCTTCTTGTATTACAGGTTGTATATTAGCCAGACATCTTGCTATTCTTTTTTTCTGCAGCTAACTAATTGATTGATTGTTCACAGCACAATTGTTGGAGAGGGAAGAGATCTCTATTAATTGATTGGTAAATGGACATGCAAAATAACAGATGTCTGAAACACAGAAAACAGAATATAATGTACTGCCTTTAAATGAATAAACAATGTGTGGGAAAAAATAAATCAAAGATGCACAACTCCCTACCCTGCTGCTTTCAGGAACAATGGTCTTTTGTCTCAAAACTCATCCAACCAGAAGGTGGTTTTTATTCTCCAGAATCACTGATTCAGATGATGTCTGCCTTTGACAAGAGTTCATTCCCCATGATGGGGGGCCATCTTTGCCTCAAATCTGCCTTAAGTGTCTTGTATGGCTGCTGATCTAAGCCTTAAAAACTCTTTTTAGGTGATATCTCTGGAACATGCTTTTTCTAGCTGTGTTGGTTTGCCTTGGGAAAAGATCATCTCTCTGGGTTGCACCTCAGCTATGAAAATTTGTTATAGTCCAAAACATATTCTCTGACATCTTTGACCTAATATCATTTTAAACAAGACTTTGCTCCAGTCTAACATAATAACCTGCTATTCATGGTTAATCTCATGTCCCCAGCAGCATGCTTTTAAACAGAAGCAATATTTTCAATAGACATGACTTTCTTCCTGCTGTAAAAATACAGTAGAGAGATTACAGGGTTCTGTTAGGTTAAATACAGATGAATTTTTACATTTTTTCTTTGTTGTTCTTGTTGTCACTGTTGCTTCAATCACAGAAGATAAAAACAGTAGAACAAATGACCAGAAGAGGGGATCAATACTATAAACTCCTTCTGATCCTCAGTAATTCTCTTTAGAGTGTAAGTCCCTCTGGAATATATGGGAATTTTCCCACTACTCTCAGTGGGAGATAACCCAGGTTTAACATTCTCAGTATAAGTAATTAAACACTTATGCTGAAATAAATAAGTGCACAGCACTGTGCCCTCATGTATTTCAGTCTCTCAGTAGGGCTGATGAGCTCAGGCACGTCATGGGAGCACTGTGAACTAGATCTGTTTTGTGTTAACCTGATCACCTGACTCAACATATGAACGAGGCATGTCACCCCTGTGCCCCTGGCTGTCCTTGCAAATGCAATTATGGGTGCAGGGCACTTCAGCAGCTCTGGGGTGAAGTGCAGTTCTAAGTAGGCACCCTAAGGGTTCCTGATGGTTCAGCTTAGAAGACATCATTTGTCTCCCCTGGCTATAATCATAGTCTGTCTAAAGCCTTGCGTGCACAAGAAAGTTATTGTGAAGTAAACCAAGGTGACAGAGGAAAACCAGAAGAGTTATTCTGCACTGATTTCAGTTGCAGATCTTCCACTCTGGGATACAAGTGCATCCTCACCACTCAGCTCAACCCCTGTCCGAAGAAAGCTCACTCAAAGGAGCTAGAAAAACTGAGTTAAAATCCATCAAAACAGTCAGAATAACTGTGCTTGCATTGTAAGTTAACTGCACAGTACTTCTCCATGTTGAAAGATGAATTTAGTCTTGATTCACTACATCAATACTGCATAAAGTGTATGCTGCAGCATCTGGATAATTGGCCAAACAATGCATGAGTTCACATCCTGTCAGCCCCGTCAGTGTCACCACATTCATTGAAGGCAGTATGGGAGAGTCTTGCCAAGCCAGGGTTTGGGACTGTGGCCCTTGTCTCACTGCAAGAAAGGGAGACTTCAGCTCTTTAGATCTACCTCTTCTAAACTACTCAGTCAATTAACATTTATATGTTTGGATTGTTTGGAAAATTGGTTTGAGGCCCAAATTTACAAAGATATTACAAAGACGTATCCAATTTCTAATCCATTTCCTTAGGAATCTGATGATCATATGCCTTTGGGAATTTGGGCCTCAAATAGTTTTTTTTAATGTTTTCATTGTACCTGATCTAAACTTCAGTTACTCCTCAAAACTAAGAAAATTAACGTTCCAAATGTTACTTAAGTGTCACCTGTAAATTGTGAATGTTATTAAGCTGATTTGAGGCAGTGGGTGAACTGGAAACCTAACCATAAAAACAGAGGTGGAAAAGAGGAGTATCTTGTCTAAACATTTCTCTGCCAGTAAAGGATTGTTCCATATACCATACTTCCTACAATGTAATGGAACATAGTTCAGCTATTGAGTGATTCCAGGTAGCTACTATCATTCATTATTACTTAAATTGTGTAGTCCAAGAGTTGGCAGCTACAAAAAGAAAAATCAAACTACTGTACCAATACACTAAGTCTTAAGGTGTGTCCAGAACAAAATCTTCTGTGGCACTGAACAGAAGCCTGATGTGTTGTGGCTGGGAGACTGAGGGAAGGGTTTCCCTCCAGGGACACAGGGGCCTTCCTGTCTCTGCTGTTCTCTACTGCATTTCTGGGAGCATTCAGAACTGACTGAAGCTGCCTTAGCCTGACAATAGCACTGGGTTTATACTGTCGACTATTGTAATAATGTGCTTGCAGGACTTAAATAGTTTACTCACCTTTACTTCTCACTCAGGCTCCAAAATAAAATGAGGTTTATAGGACAGTTCCCTCCTGGAACAACAGTGCTGCCCCAGAGCAGCAAGCTGACTGCAGCAAAATCTGTCCGTGAAGTTCTTGGGGTGAAGCACAAAGAGGAAAAGTAATGTGGGAATGGGGGAATACACACAGAGATAGAAAATTATGACGTTGTCTGAGTATTTTTTAAAAAAACTTTGAAAGGAATCAATCAGGGAGAGTGGGGTGCTGGCCTGTCACTCCTCTGAGACCGAGCTGGTCCTCGGAGCTGAAATCATCTTCTGAGAGTCTTCACCGGAGCCTGGAAAGCAAAACACATAATGGAGGTGCCACGCAGCTCTCACCCTCCCCTTCGCATCAAACCTATTCAAAACACTGAGAGAAGGAAAGTCTCGTGTCTGAACGGGAAACTCCCATTGCTCCTTTCCCTCAGCATCTTCCCCTTTCCCTCAGCATCTCTCCCTCTCCCTCAGCATCTCTGCCCTTCTGTCCCTCCCCGGGGTGAGTTTCTCTGCCCAGGGCCCCGCTGCCTGCCCTGCCCCTCGCACTCCCCGGGCCGGGGGCTCCAGCGAGGGCTGCGGGGCCGGACTAGCGCTGAGGTGCCGCCGGTCCCGCCCCGCCCCGCCCCGGCTCCGCCCGCCAGCCCCGCACCGCGGAGCGGCCCCGGCGGGAGCGGCAGCGGGAGCGGCGGCCACCGGGATGCGGCGGGGAGCGGGTCCGGGGCGGCGATGGGCGCTGCTGTGGGCGCTGCTGTGGGCGCTGTGCTGCGCCGCGGCGGGCGGCGGCGGCGGGCGGAGAAGGGCCGCCAGCCTGGGCGAGATGCTGCGGGAGGTGGAGGCGCTGATGGAGGACACGCAGCACAAGCTGCGCAACGCGGTGCAGGAGGTGAGGAGGCGGCGAGGGGCGGGGGGGGTGGTGAGTGAGGGGCTCCTTCGTCCCGCAGCCCACCGGGCAGGGCCGCACCTGCGGGCAGCGCCGCCAGCATCATCCGCGCCCGATGAGGGACAAAGGAGCGGGCGGGCGGCCCTGCCGGGAGGAGCCGCGGCCCGGGGCGGGACCTGAGCTCTCCCGGAATCCCCCCGGCGCAGCAGTCGCTGTTCCCCGCAGGCGGGGCAGGGACGGGATGGCGGGATCGGCCGTGGGGGTCCCGGCGCTGCCCCGGCGCTGTCGCGGTCCCCTGGCAGCCTCCCCGCCCGCTCGGGGCTCGCCGAGTGCGGGCATCGCTGCGATGTCCCCGGACAGCCGCCCTCCCGCAGCGGTGCCGGCGGACAGCGAGGCAAAGGTGCGGGCAAACAGTCCCGTCTGGATCCCAAGAGTGAGAAAGGAACAGTACGTGGCGAGGGGAGGAGTGAAGGGAAGAATTAGTTATATTGTCTTGGTGCAGCAGGAACTAAGACACACGACTATCCCAAACCAGGATTCAAAGCTGTGAGACAGTCCTGAAAACGCGTGTGGAGAATGAGATGTAATTCCGTGTCTTGATCTCAAATTGCCGGCCCAGAATCGCACAGGACCCATTTCAAAGACAGGAATTGAGACCAGACCCCGAGCCATTGTCTCATACCGCTTGTCAAAAGATTTTGTCCCTGTGCTCCCCTTTCTTCTGTGCTTTCCCCCCCTTCATGCTAAGAATCTCCCAGGTTCTCTTTTCCTCTCATTCAAAAATACATAGTCAAAAAACCTCTGTAACTGGCAACCAGTGGGGGAACCAGACCTTTGTTTATTATAATTAGGTAATTTCTGAACTTCTACTGTCATCTGGACAGTTGTTGAAATGTGTCTCTGTCATCCACTTAATTTAGACTAAAAACACATTGAGACAAAACATTCTTTACAATGCTGCAAATAGGCTTAGTTATAAATAATGATGTTGTCAAAATTTCTGCCTGTTTTACTCTTCCTGTAGTCAGTTCTGGACTGAGGAATGGTCTGTGTACAGCACAAAATGTGTTGTTTGAGCTGCATCTTAGTAGATAAATGCTTTACACTTTAAAAGCTTTGCAGCTGTTGTTTAAAATAAACAGACACACCAAAAAGAGAAATTTTATCTTGGGAAAAATTCAGTTGTTCAGCCTGGCTGAACTTGTGGCCTCCTAGCTCTGTTACAGTGGTTGCAAACAACAAAGGGATACGATTTATTCAGAGTTTGTGTTGTTTACAAGACTCATGCCCTTCTTCATCTGGCAAACAATGACAGTGGGAACTGAAATAGAGAATGAAATTCTGGATGTATGCACCCTCATCTATAGGACTGCTGCTGTTGATTCCGAGGGGCTTTGTCTCTCTGTCCTGCCAGAATATTTTCTCCTCTTTGTCAGATAGGAAAGTCTATCTTAAATCTTTAATGGTTTTGTGGGAAAAATAGAAAGCTGGGCTCTTGACTGGCATCAGGCTGTGCAGATACCAGTTGTTCATTAGTCTGCACCCTTTTTCCTCACGGGGACTGACTTTGGCTCTAACAGCCCAGAGCTCAAGGGTTTAGCTCACCACTGTTTTTCTAGTCCATTAGAAGAGCTGCTGTGCTCAGTGTCTGAAGCAGCTGAGTAAGCGTTCTCATCCAGGGGCATCTGTGCTAACAGCAGAATGTCATTAAACAGGGTGCTACTGAGGGCTGCATAAGAAGCTTTGCTTCTTCTCCTTTGTGTCATTTTTGCTAATTTTCAGTTTGTTATTTTTTTTTAAATTTGGCAGATGGAAGCTGAAGAGGAAGGGGCAAAAAAGCTGTCAGAAGTAAACTTTGAAAACTTACCTCCCAACTACCATAACGAGTCCGACAAGGAAACCAGAATTGGTAACAGAACTGTTCAGACTCATCAAGAAATTGATAAGGTATGAGAAAACACGTATATGGTGAGCTGTTCATTCTTACACACCTTTCCTTCAAAAATAAAAACAATTTTGAATGTTTTGGGGAGGAATAAAATAACTTGGAGCATAAACTTTACTGGTGATAATTACTTTGGGGTTTTATTGTATCTTACGTGCTTGATTAGTCACTGTGTAAGGACACGTCATAAAAGGTTAATGTGAAATAGTAATTTATGTTGAAAAACGTGCCTCCTAAAAACAGAACACAGCTACAGCTATTACATGGGTCATAAAAGAATGACCATCTCCTGCTCAGCCACCTTCATCACAGTGACATTTTAAATAGATAAGGAGGTAGCCTTGTCATCTACTTTTCCCTCTCAGAATAGCATTTAATATGAGTGACAGCAAAACGGGAATAAAAGGAGGGGGTGGGAGTGGGTTAATTATTGAAGAATGTAGGGCTGAGAGTAGCAAAGGGCTAATAGAAAGATGTGGGTTGATATTTTGTTCTTCTTTTGCTGTGTCAGGTTACAGATAATAAAACTGGATCAACAGTTTTTTCTGAAACAGTTATTACTTCTATAAGGGACGGAGAAAACAAAAGAAATCATGTAAGTGAACACATTTTTTCCTTTGGAAAATCAAACAAATGCTTGGGGGTTCATTGTTCAGAAGACTGTGATAGAGTTCACCTAACAAAATTTTGGAATGCTTTAACACACACAAAACCATTGGGGCAAGCAGTCAAAAATATTTGTGGTTTTAATTAATTTAACTTATGAATATTATGAATTGGAAGCAGAATTTCAGTGAGGTGTTTGATCTGAATATTAAATTTGTCTGTCAGATGTAAATGTTAAATAGCAAAGACAGTTACACAGCCCTTTCCAGTGAGTGTGAGTAAATCCTTAGTATAACAGTGCTCTTGTAATTAATAAAAAAATTGCTTTATAAACTTATAACAAACTGCTAATCTTCTATTGTGAGAGGTCTGTGGAACAATATATGGCTCTATTTGCTTTTCAGCCTAACACAGTGATGGACATCTGGTTGTGAAATGTCACTTTGGGGAGGGGGGAGACAGGTGGGACAGTAAATCCCCCTCCCCTCTGGAAATACAGTTGCTAAAGGATTCTCAAAGAGGTTTAAAAGATCAACAGTGTTCTTTACCTGAGTCTTGCAAACAGGTCCCATGAAAAATTCAACATATACCACTGCTTAGAACAACTGGTAGGTTTTCTTTGGTTATAGTCTTACCAAAATGGACTCTTTTTTGTGCTCTAAGACTGGCTTTTTTCAGAGTAACTTACTTCCAGATCTTTCACAGAAGGAGCTCTTTAACTATTTTATAAAACACTGAAAAAAAAGAAAAGAATTATGGCAGTGTTTTCTATTTTTAATGGGCATAAAGTCTGAAATTAGTGCATCTTTTCTTGTATCATCCTCTAAAGTCTTCCCTCTTTCAGCTCATATTTTTCACGCTGCTATTAAAGTCTGAGAATGGCAAGTAGCAAAAGAAAGCTTTTTTTTATGCTATACTTACTTTTTGTTACTATTTTGCAAAGCTTATAGATTAGGTGGTAAGTCAAGGTACAAAATGAATTGCAACTATTCTAAGCTATAGCTTGCTTTTATAAAGTGTCAACAGTGCTTTTTAGTAATAAGATATGTGTAATGAAAGCAATCCAAATATCTTTTTCAAGCAAATATGCTCATCATCTTCAAACCCAGTGTACAAAAGCAGACTTTACAACCTTCTTAGCAGTGGAACACTGCTGCTGATGGTGTTTCATAAAGTATTTGGCTTGCCTGTGGTGTCTAATCATTCTTCACAGCTGTAAAAATTACTTCTAAATTAACTTTCTCCAACAATCTTAAGCTTCATATGTCAAGGGCCATCTGCGTTTTTCCATATGGGAAGGTTGCCTCGCTTACCAAGCCAGTGCTCCATCCAGAACTAATACTGTTATTAGTGTTCCAGCTGAAGAACTTGGGGGCTGAATGCAAATTTTTGTCAAACTTCATGGTGGCAGCCTTTCATGAGGGAGGCACAATCAGAACTGCTCACGTTAGCTCCTAATCACTGAAATCCTGGGGCGCGTCATTCACCCACGCTCTGGCTGCAGCAGCTGCTGAAACAAAACTGCATTTGTTAGTGTTTATTTCCCCTCTCACACTCATTTTGAACTTTCAGCATGCCCACGGTACAAACACCTTATTTAGAGGTTGCCAGGCTGTAGAAGGAGCTAAGTGGGAAAAACAACCTACAGACATACTTGGTTATTTAAGTAGAACGAGGCAAACACTCATGTATTAATTTGACTAAGAGATGCCTAGCAGAAGTAAATCTGAAAGTACTTGAAAACTTCAAACACTAAGGATGAACATGAATCACTTTTGGTACTAGAAGGCTGAAGAACTATTGTAGGATGTGATTGAGAATTGGAAAATTTGGGTAAGAGAAAGAAGAAAGTGCTGCTGAGGAGAGATCTACCAAATAGACAAAAAATTTTTTCCAAATAAAAAATCACTCTCTTAGATATGTAAACTTAAGGCAAAAGTATTGGGAAATGAGTTGCAGCAGACTTTGCACTGTCTCCTTTGGTAATTTTTATATACATTAATTTTTATACTTGGAGCCTCATGTGGGATTTCCTTGTCACTTCCCAGTCTGCAGGCTTCACAGACTATTGGGTAGTGTAAGAGTAATTCTGCTTCTTTGCTGCTAATTTTAAATGTTAGCAACAAAGTAATACATGTGTACATCTTATATTCCCCAGACAGTTAAAAAAGGAAATCTTTTGAGATTTGTTTGGAGATTATCTCAGTCATTTTAAAATACAGCTAGTATGTACTGTTCTGTAGCACTCACCCTTACTACCCATCACTGATTCATCCTGCTGTGCAGTACAACACACCAGGAAGTTTGTGTAATTGTGTCTGTAAGTAAAGACAGTCATTTGAAAATGGTGATACTGGCAACTCCGTCTGGGGATGGACACTTTGGTAGTAGAAGCTGTAGGGATCCAAGCCCTGGGAACAGGACCTCTGTTCTGATGCCACTCCCAGAGCCTTCAAATTGCTGCCTCCTTAGAACAGCACTTTGGTTTTTATTTTTGGTCTGCCAAGTAAAATAAATAGACACGTGCTATCACACAAGCTCAACTTTTATGCCTGTAGGGAAGAAATGCTAAAAACCAAACCAGTTTCATAAGTTCAGTTTATAGGCTTAGCTTTTAAAAGTTAAGGATTCCCATAGCTCCTGCACTCTGGGTACAAATTTGGGTGGTAAATATAAAAACTTTCCAAACACCTTCACAAACCACCTGCTCTGAAATTTAAACTCTATATAATTTATTACTGCAATAATTTGTAATAACTGGAACCCTCTCAGTTTGCATTTATTTTCTGAGCTGAGTTATAAGCCTCTGAAATCACTGAAAGTTTTTCATGTGACATTTTTGGGCTTTCAGACTTGACACAAAAGCCTCACAAGAAGGCAAAGATGCGTCTTGCGGAGAGTCTGCATTGCAATAATAAATCCACATGGCTGGAATGAAATTTGGCACCGGAGAAGTAGCTTTGTGGAAAATAGGTTGTGTCTGCTTTTTAAATCACGGTGCTTGTCCTCCTGAAGCAGGTACAAATACACATACATAAGCATATACACATACATACAGTGCATACACTACTACAGAATCATTTAGGTTGGAAAAGACCTCTGAGATCATTGAGTCCAACCTTTGACTGATCACCACCTTGTCAACTAGACCGTGGCACTGAGTGCCACATCCAGTCGTTTCTTGAACACCTTCAGGGATGGTGATTCCACCAACTCCCCTGGGCAGCCCATTCCAATGTTCACCAACTGTTTCCATGAAGAAATTACTCCTGATGTCCAGCCTGAATCCCCTGGCACAGCTTGAGGCCAACTCCTCTTGTCCTGTCACTTGTTGTCTGGGAGAAGAGGCTGACCCCTGCCTGGCTACAACCTCCTTTCATGCAGATGTAGAGAGCAATAAGGTCCCCCCTGAGCCTCCTTTTCTCCAGGCTAAACACCCCCAGCTCCCTCAGCTGCTTCTTATTGGACTTATCCTCCAAACCCTTCACCCGCATCGTTGCCCTTCTCTGGACTTGCTCCAGCACCTCAATGTCTTTCCTGAATTGAGGGGCCCAGAACTGGACACAGCACTCAAAACACTACGTAAACATAAGGCATAATCTTCCCCCCCCACACTTTTCCTCTCAGGCAGTATTTCTCCTTGGCTTTGCATCACAGAGCTATTCTCTTCCGACTGTTCTTCGTTACTGGAGGGCTCGTTTGACAGTATTTTTATGGCTATTGGTTTTTGAAGTCTCCAGAGGAGGGATTGGGCTGTTTGCAATTCCAGGCAATGCAATCCAGCTCCTCAGAGGTGCTGCATTATTGGGAGGCGCCATTTACATTCCCAGACTGACATTCATGTTCTCAGGTGTCACTGAGGGCTGGCAGTCACCCCCAGACACGTCGGGCTTCGATCCAACAGCCTTGTGCCTTTAAAGAGGCCGAGCACAGGCAAGAGGTAGCTGGATGGGCATAACGTCTGTGGAAGGTTTTGCATCTGTTTGCTCCTGGGCTTAAGGCTCAAATACTCTAGCATTTACTTCTCCAGGGAACACTGACTAGCTTGCAAATTAACAGAGTATTTTCAGTCAGAAGCTCAAGTATAGAACCCAGCAAAAATTACAGCATTCCTTATTATCCTGTGAAAATCAAAACCTATTCTGCCTTGTTGACTAGACCTATTTCAGTTGTGATACATTAGCCTAACAAATGAAAAGCAAGGAGGAAAAGTAAAAGGGAAAAAAAAAATTATACTGGTAAGATTTGCTGCACAAAGATTAGCTGCATTTCTTCTCAGTTACATTCAGAGTAGTATTTTATGTAAGCTCTCTCTTCTAATTTAAAGCTAGGGTACCTGGGTTTTTTTCTTTTCTCTGTTAATTTGATAGATAAAAAAAGCAACACCTTCTTTTTAGAAAGGTTTTGTTTTGGGTTTTTTGTTGGTATTTTTTTTTTTTGGTAGCTTTCAATTCTCTTTCTTGAAAGAGCTTTTTAAAGATACTGGTATCTAGACAAGAGTGTACCAGGGAACTGGAAGAGTATCCTGCATTTCTCATTTAGCTTTGGCACTGTGGAACCCATTCCTTTCTTTTGCTTGTCCTTGGTGGTAGAGGCTCTTGAGGGCATGGCTGCCCCTTCTAATTATTTACACAGAATTTCTTTGTGGGAGGTAAGGAGAGCTGCCTTCAGTGTGATTCTCTGCAAGGTGCTTGCTCTTCTTCCACAAAGGTGGGTGTGTGCCTGTATAAACACATGGATTTGGCACCCACCTTTTGCAAACACAGCAGCTGGTTAGTGAGTAATTTCAAACACCATCGGGTCCTTAAGAAAGAGGTCTCATGATATTTGTTTCAGTGGAGAGAGGCTCCTCTTTGTATCCCTGAAGCTCTGGGCAGGGAGGACGGCACCGCTGTGAAACTGCCCTTACAAGCTGCCTTGGCAGGTTCTGGAAGTGACCATCAGTCAGGTCATTGGTTTATCTGTACAGATAGAATGGATGGCATCCAT